TCGATGATTTTGTATACAAAACCCTTCAAGTATACAAAACCCTTCAAGTATACAAGACCATAACTTTCTTCTCAAGTCAAAATGGATGGTTTTTTTCCCCTTCAAGTAAACAACAACAAAAAAAACAGAGGTTATGATTTGATTTACACACAAATTGTCAAAACCCATCACAAACAAAAACGAAAAGCTCTGAAATTGTCAATTATTCATGGAGGCTAGCGATTACCTTGAGTGATAACCAATCTGATAAAGAAGCAACCATCTCTAAATCACACGGAAACCCTAAACCCACCAAAGAAATTTCTCTGATTTTGATTCAATCCGCAGAAGATAATTGACATGCAGGAGAAAGAAGGTATCATCAACAATTCCGGAATCAGTCAGGAGAAAGAATGTATCATCAACCAATTTCTCTAGTAACTCCACTTCCGCCGTCTCCGATGAACACTCGCCATCATCCGCTCCAACACCGTCGATTCCATCGCCGCCATCACCAGAACCACCTGCTTCATCACCGCCGATAACAACGGAATCGGAGTCTTTACATTCCTCCTCCTCCGCTCGGCGTCTAGCAGTTCCTCCTTCTCCACATTCAGTATGCTATCACTCAACGAGATATCGCCGGTAGGTCTGGGGTCTTTTCTATGTGAACGAGAGAAGAGAATCGCGATGAACAAGAGAGAGAACAATAATCGACATCTGATTTTTTTTATCAACTCACATTGCGACACTTGGCCCTTTGATCCGTCTCAGTAGAAAAAAAATCATTCGGCCCATTTTTTAATCCATTTTAATGGACTGATACTATTAAAATTCATTGATAACGATGCTCACAAAAATCACCAATAAATGTGGTCTCCACAAACCTATGTCTTTAACATTATATCAAAGTCCAAACACATGAGAATCTAAAAGTACTTATTAAACTATTTATATATAGATCAGAGAAATTTTAAAAAATGTCAAAAGTGTCATTTTACAAAAATGTCACATTTTTGCAATCTTTACAAAATGCCACTTTTTAAAAAAAA